GTGTTTATAGAAAATTAATCGAACAGCTCGAAGAAGCCTTCCTGCTCCTGCTCCTGCTCCTGCTCCTGCTCCTGCTACATGAGGAAGCGTTCCTAAGAGCCCAGAGTCTTCGCGCGCTACATCATCCTCGAGGAGAATCTTTCTCGCTTCTCTTCGCCGCCTTGGCTCCCTCCATCTCCGCTGCCATCCCTTCCGCAAGCTCCTCAGGCTCGGGCGGCGATCTCTTCAGCATCTGCTTCCTGTAAGACTCAAACTGTGCGACGCTCAGCTCTGCTATGAGATTGAGTTCTGCCTCCTTCCCCTTCCCTTCTTCTTTTCCTCCCTCCTCCTCCTCCTTCTCTCCCTCCTCCTTCCTCTTCTCCCCATCCTCCTGCGCCGCGCTCGCCGCCTCCTCTGCCTTCCTCGCCGCCGCCGCCGCTGCCTCTTCGTCGCTCTTCCTGCACACGAAGACGATCCGGCGACGCTCTCGGGGGGCAGGGGAGGCAGACACGCTCCTCGACTCCTCCCCTTGCAAGTTCAGCCTCCTCTTCCTCGTCACCGGCCCCTCCTGCCCCTCCCCCTCCTCCTTCTTCGCTTCGTCTTCCTCCTTCCCTCCTTCGTCCTCCTTCTCTTCGTCTTGCTCCTCCTTCTCTCCGTCCTCCTCCTCCTCCTCCTCCCATCCACTGTGCGGAGTCCCTGCAACGCTGTTCGAATTGGAGATCAAGTTGCTGTCCTTGTTCCCCATCAACTCCCTATCCATCGCGTCATCCAGCATTCGCAACAAAGCTGCTGACCGCCGGTCATCATTAGCATTCTTCATCCTCATCTCCATCTCCTCCTGCGCCACCAACTGCTCCACATGCTCCTCCTGCCACTTGCGCAGCTTCGCAGACCGTCGATGGATGTTGTACTCCTTCCTGTTGCTCCTCATCTTCTTCGATCGCCACATCCCGTCGCTCGTGTGCGCCTCGAACTCGTGCTCTCCCCCGTTCGCATGCACCACCAACTCGCTCCTCTCGTACACGCCCACCACCGCGTCGCCGAGGGCCTTGCTGCCTGCCCTTACATTCCTCCCCATCAGTAGTGGCACCAGGACCTTGCTCTCGTCCTCAGCTTCATCCGGATGCTCCTCCTCCGAGGGGGACTGGACCCGGTCTGATTTCTCCCGCTCGCGCAGATCCTTGCTCTCAGGCGTGTCCACGAGGTGGAGGGAGATGGAGAGGGAAGCGCTCGTCCTGTCGTAGAAGAAAGCGTAGCAGTCGCCGCTGCCCGCCAGCCTCCTCGCGTTCGCCTCATACACTGGGCCGAACCCTCCGTTCTGAAGGTGCTGGTACTCGAATAGGGAGACGAAGCAGGAGCCTCCGTTGGGGCTCTTGGCATCCTCCCCCGCCAGCGCTCGAGCGAGCCGCAGCAGCTGATCCGACAGCCACTCGAGCGTGAAGACTTCATACGAGGAGGTACCGAGCGTGACCCGGCAGCCTTCCTCGAAGTCAGCTGAGTCCAGCGTCCCCTTGACCAGCCTCGCCACCATGTCCATGAACGTCTTGTAGGTCGAGCCAGGCATCCCCTTCATGCCATCACCGGCTGCACTCGCCGCGTCCGCGTCTTGCGAGACGTCCTGTGAGCTCATGGCCTTTCTCAGCAGCTCCTCCGCCTTCTCCTCCTCGTCCCTCCTCAGGCGATCATCCTGCGTCTGCGCGAGCTCCTTGGCCTTGGTCAGCCTCTCGTACATCTTCTGGTACAGCCGGAAGAAGTAGTAGCACTTCAGGTTCCCGTACAGGATGCTCGTCTCCTCCGGCTCCGCCCCAGCTACCTGGCTGCTGCTCCTCTCGCTGGGCAAGTCTCGCAAGCTCAGGGGGGAGAAGTCGGGGAAGGTGTAGACCGTCTGCCAGATGTCTTCCTTGCAAACGTCCTTGACTTTCTCCTCCTCCTTCTCCTCCTCGGCCACGGGAGGGACGTAGGTCGGTGCCTGGTAGCTGTCGACAGGAGGCTTGTAGGAGGAGGTGTAGTCGACGTCGCTCTCGTTCACCCCGAGCTCCCTCGCTCGTGCCTTGCTCCTGCTCTCCCTCGTGCTCCTCTCTTCCTTCTTGCCCTCTACCTCGGGCTCGAAGAAGGTCGTAGGGGAGGGGAACAGCGAGCGGTACACGGACTCGTCCGTCCCCTTGCTCACCGCCTCCGCCGCCTGCTTCACAACATTCATCATGGCCACGTCCAGGTCCTCGATGCTGCTCAGCTGCTTCCCCGACTCCAAGGAGTCGCCGCTGACGGCCTTGATCACCTCCTCCAGCACGTCCTCCACCTGCTCCTCCGTTCCCTTGGACTCAGCCCGGTCCTCTGACCCGCCGTTCTCCTTCCCAGCAGCACTCAGCCTCCTCCCCGCATGTTCCCTGCGGTGCTCAAACTCCTCGACGTCCATGCTGCTCTCGTCCAGGATCGCCTCCTGGCTGATAGCCTTCTCCTCCTCCTCCTCCTCCACGAACTCCCCGTAGCCGGACATCCCGTTATCCTGGTCCCCCGCAGCGGAGGCGGAGGGGTCGTCGCTGCCCGTCACCTGGACCTGAGAGTCGCTGCTGGCCTGGACGTTGGCGGCCGAGACAGAGCGGACGATCTCCTCGTAGTCTCGCTTGCGAAACCCAAGGAAGACATGCAGGAACCTCTTGAAGAACTGCTCGACCCTATCAGCGAGGCTGGGGAGAGCGTCGTTGGGGAGGCTGAGGAGGAGGATGGAAAAGATGTCGTCATGGACCTTGAGGGGAACGTTAGGAGCTAAGGGCAGCCATTCATAATTGTCACCTCTTGATCCGGCATGAGGAACTTGAGGCAAGGGGAGAGGGTAGGCTGGAGGGAGGCCTGACGGCGGACGATCTTGGCTTCTTGAGCGAGGGACTGAGTGCATACGGAGTGAGGAGGACGACGACGAGGCGAGAGGAGGAGGTAAAAGAAGATCAAGGGAGAGGAGGAAGAGGCGAGAGCAGGAGCAGACAAGAGGAGGAGGTAAGATGAGAAGAAGGCGAGGAGAGGAGGCGCGAGGAGATGAAATGAGTGGGGCAGGAGTTGGGAGGAGGAGGAGGCGAGAGCTAGGCGGGGGACCTGCTGGCTGAGTGCCTTCTTATCGGCCTGTTTGAACTGGAAGCTTCGGTAGTCCAGGCTCTTGTGGTAGTTCTTGAGGTAGACCTGACATCCGCGTCAGACCTTACCTCCTGCCATGCCTCATGATACCTGCGACCAGATCTTGTTCATGTCCCTCCTCGTCTTCCTCCACTCCGCGTCCTTGTGCTCCAGGCGTTTGAGCACAACCTGGGAGGCAGTCAGAGGAGGCGCCGAGACGTCAAAGGAGAAGAGCGCGGCAGGTCAAGGGCAGGTCAAGAGCAGGTCAACGGCAGGTCAAACTCACGTTGAGGGTTGTGACTGGCGCTCGTCGGAAGAGGTTGTGCGCAATCTCAGGCCAGTGATCCGCGTAGACCATCTGAAAATTAGTCAACACCCTCTTCTCCCTCCTTCGCCCCTTCCCTCTCCTCTACATTCTTCGTCTGCTCTCCTCCTGCCCTCGAGCTCTTACCTGGATGATCTTCATGTGCCTTGGCTTGAGAGCCTCGCCCTGTTGCTCAACTTTTCAGCACCAGCCGGCCGACCGCGTCAGTCACCATCGATCTCGCTTGAACCTCAACCCCGGGCTCCTTGCTCGTCGAGCCGTTGCTCGAGTTGACGCCATCGGACCTCTCCTGCTTCCCCTCGTACTCAGCGATCTTGGCCTTGATGGCCCTTATGGTTGAGATATTCGCTTCGATCAGCATGTCCAGTTCGTATCTGATGACGAGACTCGTTGAGAGGCCGTCAGGAGAGTTACAACTGGACTTGCCTGTCGTCCTCGCACAGGAACATCGCGATCTCGTACTGGGTTCGCTTCATGTGCAGGAAGTCCTCTCGCCCGTTGGCCAGCGACACCTACGGGGAACGAGTAAGAACGTCAGGAGCAAGTCAAGGCGCCGGACCCAGTCGTCGTTGAGGACGCTGTCTTGGAACGGCGTCCTTGACGAGCACAGCGGTGGGATGTAGTCCTGCACCTCCGTCACCTCCCTGACCTCCCCCGCGAGCGTCGGGACGCACCTTGGGCAGCTTCCTATAACTCACTCCCGACCGTGGACAGTGAGAGAAGTCCAGCTGGGAGGTCAAGGTGACAGCAGTTCCCCCAGCAGAACCCTCCCGACTCACCTCGCTTATGGGAAGCGTCTCGGACTGTTTGGCTCCGATCATCGCCTTGAACGGTCCGTAGAGCTTCTTCAAGTTGGAGGTGGATATCATTGATTCCTGTCGCACCTTGTCAACCTCCTCCTTCCTCTCCTTGTCCTCCTCCTCCTCTTCGTCCTCCTCCTTCCTCTCCTGTCCTCCTCCTCCTCTTCGTCCTCCTCCTCCTCTTCGTCCTCCTCCTTCCTCTCCTGGTCCTCCTCCTCCTCTTCGTCTTCCTCCTTCCCTTCCTCATCCTGCGTCTCCTCTTCCTTCCCCCCTCCTCATCTTACATGCACGACCGTGACGAGTTCCTCAGCGCTCAAGACTCCCTCGACGTGCAAGTCCAGGCATTTGAGGAAATCATTCTGCTTGTCGACCCCCCCCTGTCGTAATTCTTTCCCAATGGTGTACTGTAGAAAGGACGCACTATGGGTCAGAACACCGACAGGCCTTCGTGCTGAGTTACCAGGAGCTGTCCGTTGACGTCGTCGGGTTCAGGCTCCCACGGCTTCTCCTTCTCCTGCAACGACGTCGGCATGTCAAGAAGAGCTTCTGCTCGCTAGCACAAGGCAGCAAAACTTACAACTTTCGGCTTCTTCTTCGAGCTCGACTTCCCTCCGGACTTGTCATTTGACTTGTCTGCAACGTTCCGGTCTTGACCGTCGGTCCTGTCTGACTTGTCCGCTGCTCCATCTGCCGAGCCCTTTTCTGACATCTTTTGGTCCTGCTTCTTGCCGTGAGTGGAGGAATGTGATCCCTTTGACTTGGACGCCTCCCCCTTGCCCTGAGACTCATCATGCTGCAGCACACAGTCTCAGCCGGAGAAGCGAACAACGTCTCGAGCAACTCACGTAGTCATCGGGGAGGAAGATTGAGAATTGACGGAGAAGGTCTGGATGCCCATCGAACAATCTTGTGACCTGTCAAAAAATTCAGCAACAAGCTCCTTGCCACGGCAGAAGGATCATGAACAACCTCTCCTTTGACCCGGGAGATGTCGTAGACGTTCTGTTTGTACTTCTGGAGGACTTCAAGAAATTCTCTGTTGAGATGAGATCACATACTTGGATACGCTGCAAGCAATAACTTGTCTACCTATAAACGTTGGGGCGATGCTCAAAACGCGCTCGTATCCTCGCGACATACGTGAAGGCGCTGTCCCGGTCCTCGGACTGAGAGGCAGCTCAGAATCAAAGACAGGAACCATGGATGCTTCCCACCTGAGGGACTTGTGCTGCTTGTCCGTGACTTTCACCCCCAGAGCTCTTGGGCTTCTTGTCCTTCTTGACTGCTTGCTCTGCCGGCTTTGCGACTTTGGGATGCTGAATGAAGGAGGGCGGTGCTGAGACTCGACTTGCTTGCGAACCTGCCGGCGGTTGAAAGCTTCTCTCCTGATTTGACTGCTCACGAGCTTGTGCCTGGGGAGAGAAGCAGGTCAGAAGGCGAACCATGAGGTGAACAGGGAGGATAAGTTGAACACAGTATCTGAGCCAACCTGCTCAGCGGGGGGAAGAAAGTTGTTGAAACCTTGGACTAGATCTTGATGTCCAGCAAAGAGTTTCGAGACCTTGGCAGTGACAGCCTGTTGGTCGATCAGAGCAACAAGTCAGAGAGCAGGAGGGCACAGGTGACGGAGAGCAACAACACACACCGAGGTACTGATCTCCTGCGACTTGAACTCCTTCATGATGTTCAGGAAGGCGTTGTACACAGGGGGTTCGTGTGCAAATCGCAGCCGCACTTGGTTCAAGTACTCCAACGCATCGTACTCTTGGATGCTCTGCTTACTCATCTGCGCCGGGTCTCGCTTCGGCGCGATGCTGGCGGCAGGAGGGGCAGGCTTAGCGGCGCTTGTCGGTAGACTCGAGCTCGGCCGCGCCAACCTCGATTGCAGCTCGGAAGTCTGCTGAGCATTCCGGGCAGCTTCTTCAACCTTCATGTTGTTGTACAGGAGCATGCTGTTCCTGAGGTTCGGATCGTTCTGTAACGCATGGAGGGCCGCCAAATCAGGGGAATTTTCCCTGGGCAAGAAATTGAGAAACAAGGGCTGCCCTGAGGAAGAGGACTGGGAGGCTCCTAACAGTCCTGAGTTGCTCCAATCCCCCCCAACCGGGAGGAAGGGCAATCTGTTCGGATTCATCGAGGTCAGAGAGTAAATCTAGTTCCTATCAGTTCCTGGTTTAGTCCACAAGAACTTTGCCCATGTGTATCCATTGAATACCCTTAACGCCTGACAACGAGGAAACAAATCTTCCTGCTCCTGCCCATGAACGGATCAAACAAGCAAAATGACTTTAAGAATAGAATCGTCAAGTACTTTAGGCAGAGAGGAAGGAGGGCAACTTAGGGGCGAGGTGATGGTCGAGGGCTGAGAGGAAGTGATGACGTTGAATGAGATTTGGAATAGAAGATGAAGGCAGAACGGTGATGGTAACTAGGAAAACAAGATGTAGAATCTTGTGAGGATAGATGTTTTAGAAGAAAGCAGGGCCGATAAAGGGGGTAGAAAAGGTCAGGACAGGTGAAGACAGGATGGAAGGGGAGGACGAGGAGAAGGCCGAGAGGAACATGAGGGACGAAGCAGAGGGAAAGGAGGAGCAGGATAGAGGAGGAGCAGGGGCAGGGGCAGGGGCAGGGGCAGGGGCAGGGGCAGGGGCAGGAGCAGGAGCAGGGGCAGGGGCAGGGGCAGGGGCAGGGGCAGGGGCAGGGGGAGCAGGAGCAGGGGATGGAGCAGGAGCAGGGGATGGAGCAGGAGCAGGGGATGGAGCAGGAGCAGGGGATGGAGCAGGAGCAGGGGCAGGAGTCAGGAAGTGAGTAGGGTAATAAGGGAGAGAGGCGGAGGGAGGAGGAGCAAGCGAGGGCTGAAGGGGTAGTGGTAACTCGAGGGGGTAGGGGTACATACCGGGTGGTGAATAGTAAGGGAGGCAGAAGAAAGAGGGTGGTAGAACGCTCTAATGTGGGGTGGGTGGTGGTAACTTTGGGGTCAGTTGTAACAAGGGTGTATATTCACCCACCTTCTTATCATTCATAAACAAAGTGAATGACGGGTACTGAGAACATAGTAACTGTGTACCTCGTGGGTTCTGTTCCACAATGTGCAACATGGGGGTAGGGTGGTCTGATTTCCGTGCTGAGGTTTGTTGACTCGAGGGGGTGGGCTGGGGGGTAGAGAACAGTCTGAAAAATTATATTTAAAGATACATTGTTTTAAAATTTGGGGGAAGAAGGGGTAGTTTGAAATGTCGACAAAGGGGTACTATCATGTAGAAAATATGAAAAGACTTCATATCAGAGACAATATTGGATTAGCTCTCGAAAAGACTATTCATGAGATTTGTCAGAGCGTGATCTATTCGAAAATAACTTTGTTGACATTTACGAACCCTCCAGGACAGCTTTTCACAACGTTTCATTTGTATTACTCATTTTAATCGTCATCTTTGGTGTGTAGTAACGAGCTTTTCGATTGGACAGAGTGACGTGGAATTTGGGGGTAGGTGATAGTAGAAGGGAGGGGTACTTTCGAGGTATTTATACACCGGTGCATAATACCAAGGGACGTTGTGATAATTGAGGGGTGGGTAGCATAACTATTCTCTCTCTAGGGTGGTATTGGGAAATGGAGGGGGTGGATACCGCAAGGGGTGGTTTGGAATGCGATCAGCAATATGCCTGGCTTTGCTTGCGGCCGTAATGATCATGGCGGAAGAAAGTAAGTGGAGAAGATCAGGGTGGGGATGATAAGGAATTCATCAGGAGCATGTCCATGAGCACGATGAGAGCAGGAGCAGGAGTGAGAGCAGGATCAGGAGTGAGAGAGGGAGCAGGAATGAGAGCAGGAGCAGGAGCAGGAGCAGGGGCAGGGGCAGGAGCAGGGGCAGGGGCAGGGGCAGGAGCAGAATTTGGCAAGACTGAGAGTAGGGAGGACTTTGATAGAGTTGATTTTGGTGGAGACATGGGAGCTGGAGTAGATGAGCGGATGCGATGGCAGAGCAGAGCACGCAAGATAGAGGATGGAGGTGTGCGATTGAGCTGGAGATGCTGAGAAGGAACTAGAGCAAGCAGAGGAAAGCAAAGCTGCGGGTGGAGGAGGAGGTAGAGGAGGATGACGTCAGGATCATGATGGAAGAAGCAAGCAAAGGGGTAGATGGGAGTGATGGAGACCGTTAGGACAAGGGCGATGAATGTACGAAAGAGCTAATCCTCCTCAGTCGTTAGTGATTGTAATACCCGACCCGGTTGTTGATGCGCTTCCAAGAGTTCGAAAGAGAGGGGTAGGAGAGGAGGAGAAGTTCATGGGAACCTACGAGGGGAGGAAATGCTGAGCATGCCTGTGCTTGCTCTCCAGCGATCGTCGCTGACGGTGGGATGTGACAGAGGTAGGCCTCCGCGATGAAGAAGATGTTAGCAAGCGAAGGGAGGAGGCTCTTTCGAAGCTCCCGAAGCCCGTGGAGGAGATGAGGGTGAAGGTGCGACTTGTCATATCTGCCCTCTCCTGCTCGCCGCGTCTTGATCTCCCTTACTGTACCCCCTCCCTTCTTCTCTCCGCCCCTTTCCTCCTCCTTCTCCTCCTCCTCCTCCACCACCACCACCACCACCACCACCTCCTCCTCCTCCTCCTCCTCCTCCTCCTCATCATCATCATCATCATCATGATCATCATCATCCTATCATCCCCATCCTCCTGAGCGCGTCTTGTTTACTTGACGATCCTACCAGAACCGTGATCCTTTGCTTCTCTCAGGAACTCAAGGATCTTTTACATCAACGAGGAGTCTCCTCTGTTGGAATTTCCGAGAAAGCTCAGCTGGTTGAGAAGGTGAAAGAAAGGTAACAGAATCCTCCTCCTCCTCCTCCTCCTTCTCCTCCTCCTGACTTCTCCTCCTCCTCCTCCTCCTCCTCCTCCTCCTGACTCCTCCTCCTCCTCCTGACTTCTCCTCCTCTTCGTCCTCGTCCTCCTCGTCCTGACTTCTCC